TTTAACAAAAAATAAAACAAGCAAACAAAAAAGCAAGGAGTCAGGGCACAGGTTGTGGCGTAACAGGAAAAGCTGCCATTTGTAACTCCAGCATCTCATATGGTAACTGGTTCAAGTCCTGACCACTCCACTTCTGATCCAGTTCCCTGCTAATGTGCCTAGGAAAGCAGTAGAGAATGGCCCTAGGGCTTGAGCCCTTGCACCCATGTGGAAGACCAGGAGGAACTCTTGGCTCTTGGCTTGGGCCTGGCCCAGACCTGGCCATCGTGGCCATTTGGGGAGTTAATCAGTGGATGGAATCTCTCTCTCTCTGCCTTTCAAATAAATTTTTAAAAATCTTTAAAAAACCCAAGAAGATGTCAACAGGGCTGAGGTCCTTCTGGGATTTCTAGGAGACAGTTTCCTTGTGTTTGCTCGTTCTGAGACACAGCCCCCATTCCTTGGCCTGGGACCCACTTCCTCCATCTTTATAACCAGCCATGCTGCATCTCTGGTCACTTCTCCACTGTCACATCCCCTCTGTAATCAAATCTGGATATGTTCTTTTGGATTCCTGAGTTTAAATTGGCCCTTCTGCATAATCCAGGAGAATTTCTCCATCTCAAGGAGAGATTAATTTGATGATATCAGCATGTGATTATATTTTGCCTGATAAAGTTACATATTCATAGTTCTGGGGGTTCTGATGTGGGTGTGTTTTGGAGAGGGACATTATTCTGCCTAGAACAGGCAATGAGTAGACCTCTAGACATTTTTCCAGAGAAAACAGAGGTAGGGTAGCTTGAAGGTATGTGAAATTGGAGATTTGATAAGAAAGTGATAGGGAGGGAGGTTAAGTAGGCAGATGTACACTGAAAGAATTATATTCTCCTGAGAATAAAAACAGACCCAAATCGGCTGTTTATTTTACAAGGATGGTAGTTGATTAGTTTTCACAATGAGAAAATCATTATCCTTCAATTGTTTGTTAGATTATGGCTACGAGAATGAGTTACTTATTCAAGCTAGTCTGGAAATGATCACATATTTAAGAATTTTAGAGTCTTGCTAAAAGAATATCATCCAAGGGGCCAGTGCTGTGGCATAGTGGGTTAAAACACTGCCAGCAGTGCTGGCTTCCCATTTGGGTGTTGAATTGAGTCCTGGCAGCTCCACTTCTGATCCAGCTCTCTGCTAATGGCCTGGGAAAGCAGCAGAAGATGGTCCAAGTACTTGGGCCTCTGCCACTCCATGTGGGAGACCCGGAAGAACCTCCTGTCTCCTGGCATTGGCGTGGCCCAACCCTGGAAGTTGCAATCATTTGGGGAGTGAACCAGAAGATGAAAGATCTCTCTCTGACTCTACCTCTCCCTCAGTGTAATTCTGCTTTTCAAATAATAAATAAATAAATCTTTAAAAAAGAAAATAATATCATCCAAACATTTATTTGCTTTTCTATGCCATCGAACATTGTATCAGAAATTAAAACAGAGTTTATGAAAACTGTTTTGTCTTTTATTGGATACATGTTCTAAAATCTATATATTGGTATGATATAATTAATTACATGTTGCAGAATATCTGTGTTTATTATGACTAAATTGCACCAAAATTAAATAGAAGTAACTAAGGGACTTAGTGTTACTTATAAATTTAACTAATAAATAGTTTTTAGAATTACTTCTTGTCCAAGATTCTCATATGTACCTAAGGTACATATCATAAGCCATAGTGGTAAAAGAAATACTAAAATCAATTTTACTCTTAGATAAAGAACAGCCTGGCATTTAGAGGTCTTTATTTAATGAGATGGCCATGTAATAAAGAAGTCATTGTATTTCCTCATGTGTTGTGTTTTATCTTTTACTGAATTTCAGCATTACATTTGATCTATTGCTTTAAGTGGACAAATGATAGTATTGAAATGGTGGAGAGGCTGAAGTGACCTCTCCATGATATAGAGACCAGGGAGTTCCCTTCTTGCAAAGAGGCAGCCTTGGGTTTTTCGGCCTTTTAATCCAAGAGATGTCCTTCTTTGAGCCTGACCAAAGGAAGCCTACTGTGCAGTGTGCTTTGGCTCTTTGAACCTTGCAATAATAGATTCTAACCACAGCAAGTTCGTGCATATGAAATAAATTTAATGGCTGAGCTAGTTTACCACTCAGCCTGTTCTATCTTCTTTTCTCCCATCTCCTTTTCATTGGCTACTTCAACCTCATTAGTATTTTAGGAGAAAACTGGATCCTGTCCATCATTTTGGTTGTTGCCTTCCTTTTCCTGGCAAACAGAGCCTGAAGTTTCAATAGAGCAAGTGGGGAGGGATACAACACATTCAGAGTTTATGAAAGACCTTATTTACCATCAAAGTGAAGGTTTCCAGATACTCCAGCCCTGTTTTCTTACGCTCTTGTGTCTTTGATGAGGAATTAAGAACTCCAGCCAGGCCTACAGAGGACACTGAGAGGTGCCTGGCAGAAGGCACTACATGGTGTTCTGAAGTTGTTCACTAATTATAAATGATGTTGAGAAGTAGGTAGAGGAGCAGAAGAGCGGTCAGACTATAAATATCAGGAATCGGAATCTGCAAAATTAAAATCAGTTTCTTTCTGCCAGCTTACCTCATACCTCCTATTACCCCCTCTCCCCTCCTTTAAAAAGCATTCACAGGGACTTGCCTTTTAATAGAGTGACTTTTACATCTGCCCTCTCCTCAACCTGAGTGTCAAGTCTTTAAGTGGTTCTCCTCAAATGTCAGTGAGGCTAGAAATAATCTGAGGACCCTACAGAAATAATTTAGAGTATACATCTCTGAAATCGTTTTTCAGTGCATTCGGGGTAAGGACCAGTACTGTTCATTTTAATAAGACTTCAGGTAATTGTAAAGTGATGGTCTGTCACCTACCTGGAGAAACATTTCCCTAGCGGTCAGAGGCTTCTGATCCTTAGTACCTAAGGATCTGTGTAATGCTCAGAGGTCTCTAGTGTGAGCTTGTGAATTGAAGCCAATGCTGTCATGGAAAGCATAGAAACACATATTCTTGGAACATGCATAACAGGAAAGAAAAGCTAGGCATAGATTTCAAAATTTTTTTGCACCGAAATAAACTCATCTTTTAAATCCATTTTCTACGGACTATTTGAAGTGCCCTGATAGAGAGAGCTACCATCCTCTGGTTCACTCCCTGAATGTCCCAAATAGTCCAGGGTGCTATAGTGGGGAACTCAGTCCAGGTCTCTCACATGAGTGACAAAACTCCACTACTTGAGCTATCAACACAGCCTCCCAGGGTTTGTAATAGCCAGCAGGAAGCTGGAATCAGGAGCTGAAGTGGGGAATCAGGCCAGCCATTCCTACATGAGAACCTGAGTTTTATTTTTTTATTTACTGTTTAAAATTTTAGATTTATTTATTTATCTGAAAGTCAGAGTTACAGAGAGAAGAGAGAAAGGGAGAAAGAAACAGGTCTTCCATCCCCTGGTTCACTCCTCTGATAGCCACAATGGCCAGGTCTAGGCCAGGCCCAACCCAAGAGTCAGGAGCTCCTTTCGGTTCTCCCACATGAGTGGCAGGGACCCAATCACTAGGGCCATCTTCCACTGCTTTTCCAGATCATTAGCAGGGAGCTGGATCAGAAGTGGAGTGGTAGGGACTCAAACCAGTGCCAGCATGGGATGCCAGCATTGCAGGTGCCGCCCCACCCCTGGGAACCTGCATTTTAACTGCTAGCCCAGTCACCAGCACCAGCGCCCTTGTCTGTTATCTAGAATACCTGATGGAAGGCTGCTTTATTTACTTACTTTTTTCCCTGGGGAAGGGTGCAGTCCTGGGAAGGAAGAAATACACACATCTTTGCTGCCAGAGCAGGGAAAAGGTTCAGTAGTGTTTGATTTCCCCATTCATTACTGGATGTGGGTTTCCTGTGTCTCCTTTCTTTTGTTTATTGTTTACCAGGTGCTGGGAGGTCTGCTGTTTCATGTGCCTTGCCTTTTGTTCTTCTGCCACAGAGTCTGAAGCTCTCTCCCTTATTTCCATATGCTCAAAAACTGTATCTTTCATATAAGAAGAAAAGTAAAATCCCTCTTTGTTTCCTTACACATTATCCTCACAACTGGGCTCTGAAAAGACATCATCTGGAAAATTGGTAATTATTTTAATGTAAATACTGTGGAAAGCATTTCATTGTTTAGAGCTTTGCTTTCAACTGTTGGAACAAGTTACCAAGGCACTTTCTTGCATCAAAACCATTCACTCTTCAGTTTATTTAAATGTGATTAGTTGTGCACTGTCTAAAGTGATTCTAAGTAGAAAAAAAAATGACTAAAAAAATATGTGGATAATATCAATGCATATACATGAATTGCTTTGTTTATTAAATTTATCGAGCATATGCACTGCCTAGAAAGCCCAGTTTCTGTTTCCAAGTGGACAAGGCAATAAATTTAAACATTAAAATCAGGAATGTTCGGTATATCTCTCCATTTTCAAAACCCAAGATTATCTATCTTTTGATGAGCACTCAGTAACAGTTTTATCTTTAAGGCTTTTGGAAAGGAAACTGGCACAAATATCGTTGCCTCTGTTGAATTTACATACTATCTTGATGATGAAAAAAGCACAGATGCCCAAAGGTCTCCCACCAAAAGAGCCCAATGTCATGGTGATGGTCATTGTATGTGGAGTTTATTGTATGGGCAGGGCTGTCACTTTCTATAGAATCTTCATTTATTACGCTCATTGACTTTCCCAGAGCAGACAGGAGGGTGTCTGCCCTGTGAAATATTCTCAGCTGGGGAATTTTAAAAGCAATCCAGTTTTGTGCCTGAAAAAGACCCAAAATCAATGTGTTTCTTTTCAAAAGACGGGAGGGTCAATACCGTAGTTGTTTTTGTTCCCATCCAGTTATGTAACCGTGGGGACTTGTTTCTTTGCTTTCAGGGTTTGTACAAAAACACTTTAAAGCTAAACAATAGGCGGGAGTCTCAGGAGCAACCCTGGGGCTGTGTCTTGGAGGTTGTGCTCCTAGGTTTGGGAACCTCCAGCGAGTCCCATCTCAAGTGCTGACTCGTGTGTGTGTGTGTGTGTGTGTTTAGTTAGCTGGCACGCAACACTTCCCCAGGGTTGTGTTTCCTTTTTCCTGAGATTTGGCGAAGGGTAAAGGGTCGGAGTCACATGGATACAAAGCATTTGATTAATGTCCAAGTCACCGCTGTGGCTGCCGGAGCAGCCTCTCCTCCAGCTCGGGCCGCGTGAGGCCACAGCAGCGCCGCAGGACACGCAGGGCTGGGACCAGCGCCCCCTCTCCCGGGAGTTTCCTCAACAGAGACCCAAACTCCCGCGCCGCCGGAGGTCCGGCCCGCACGCCCGCGCCCCCAGCCCCAACCCCAGCGCCTCCCAGGAGGGTGAAGTCGCCCGTCCCTCCTCGGACTTTGCGCAGGCGGCAACTTTCCTTTCTGGCCGCCGGCGGCCGGCAGCAGCGGGCGCGCCGGGCAGCGCGCAGCACAGCCCGCCAGCCCCGCGTCCCGCCGCCCACCATGAGTGAGGAGAGCCGCGGCGACGGCCGCGCCGAGAGCGCCAAGGACCTGGAGAAACAGCTTCGCCTGCGCGTGTGCGTGCTCAGCGAGCTGCAGAAGACCGAGCGCGACTATGTGGGCACGCTGGAGTTCCTGGTGTCGGTGAGTGTGGCCCCGGTGCCTCAGGGTCCCGGCGCGGGGAGGCCGCGGGCAGCGCGCGCGGCATTGTCTGCGCTGGGGCCCCGGGACCCAGTCCGCGCGCGGACGCTGCCGGCGACCCCCACCTCTCCTTGCGCGGGTTTGCTAAAGCTTGGAGACGCGCTCAGTCGCCAGGGTCTTGGAGAGCTCCCGGCCTTAAAAGTTAGCTCGAAAGGGGGAGAGCTCCTGTCTGGGGAATCCCGGCTGCCCATCTTCCTTTAAGGTACCCTTTCCCCGGTCTGCTCAGTTGCGCTGTTTTACTCCTCCCTCCATACTCCCTCCCCGGTGGTTTTGCTTCGGTTTGGTGATGAAGGGTCTGGTCTGGGTCTGCCACATTTCAGGTACAGGTAGTTAAAAACAAAACAATACAAAAATGCCCTCGCGTCTGCAGACTCTTGAACTGGTGATTCAGATAGCATGGCAATGAAGAGCCTTTAGTTATAATAATCTTGGAAACATGGGATTCTGGGGAGTGGGGTGGAGAACAGAAGGAGCAACCGGTCGTGATCTCTAGCAGCTGTTGAATATTAAAGCCACATGTGGCACGCACCCCGTCCTGGTCCTACAGTGTCCATCGTCCTGGTTTAAATTTGTCCTCTGCTCAGTTCCTGGTCCTGTGCTCCTACTGAGCCCATGAGAGTGGTGTCATAAAAGTCGTTCTTGACAACCTGAGGATGTCGTGGAAGCGGGCGTGCACTTTCTGGCTAAGTTTCGGCTTGACTTACTTGAAGTCTGCTTTGGAAATGCTTCAGTCATTTCAGGGCAGGAAGGGCAGTAGTGAATGAAAGTTAACTTCAGAGACATGGCGCACAAGTTGGATTTTTTTTTTTTTCCGATTTGCTTCTGATAAGGTAAAGAACCCGAGGGTTGGCTCCTGTCTGCCCAGGTGCCTGAGAGAGCATCAGTCAAGATGCAGGAGTCTTAGCCTTCGGGATCTCACTCAGACCCTCTAAGCTTCTTCTCCTTCCACCACCCATGTCAGAGTTCCTGGTCAGAAAGGAAGCGTTTCAGATGTCACACTTCCTGCTCGGTTTTCTGAAGCCAGTAAACTTTCTGCATAGAATCATGAGAGAGGAAATTCATTCTTGTATGGTAAGAAGGAAAGAAAAATGTCTCAAGTGATGTAACGTGTGCAGTTGGCTTGAATCAGTATACTTGATCCCCCAATAGGCACATTCTTTGGAATTGTACAGATATTTGATAGCATCCTTGTGATTGGTGAGAGAATTATGGAACACTTCCATGCAGGAATGACTGCCCCCAGAAAGTATGTTTTTAAGGAGATTTGACCTTTAATAGCTTCACTTTTGGTGTTTATGAAACTGTTAGTGACAAAGCCCTTTGACTTTTGAAGAAGCTGCATCATTTCTTTAAGAGTTACTCCTTTGTGAAGTACTGCGTAAAATGCTGATTTGCATAAATAGCTAATCGACACTGAATACCAATTTCATCATCTTTATTTTAAAAATATCAGTTATTATCTTAACACCTGAATGTTGCAACCGAAAAGTTAGTACTACTATATAGCATTCGATAAGAAAGTATGGGAGGCATAAAATACATTGTGTGTTTGTTTTCACAAGTATTGCGCAATTTTATAGTTTCACTCTTCCTATTTTTTTCAGAAGTTATGATCTCTTCACCTTTCCTTTTCTTTGCCAGTTATTTGTGCTTGCATATATGGACACACACAAATGTACTACTTGGTCTGAATATCATCCTAAACAAAGTGGGTTCCAGCTTCTCTTTGGTCTTTAAATCATTCAAAGCCCCAAAGACATATTCATAATTCTTCATTTAATTTTCTCTTCTGTGTGTTAGAGCAACATTAAATGGGCAGATGCTTTTACTTGGTCACCTACCAGGACCTTGCTTCTTCCTGATGGCTTCCTGCTGGGCCTTTAGGGCTCAGGTCACTTCATGCTGCCCAGGCCCTCCTTGCTTTGTTTCTGTTCTGCTTGGTGTTTACTTCTTCCACTGTACCCAAGGTAGCTGACACATTCATTTGTTTACATCTGTCTCATCCTATGAGACTGTGAACTCCATGAGAACAAGAACATACCTCGCTGGTCTGCCCAGAATTTTGTGTCACATTTGTGACACTGTAGCTGCTTAATAGATGCTTACTGAATGAATAAATGAATCGATCATTTCCTCCATCATCTTTCCCCCTACATTAAGATTCTTAAATCATCCTTAAAATTCTAATGTCCTTTTCCTTCTATTTGCTCTTAACTTCCTGTAGCTTCACTGTGGTAAAGTGAGTTGAATTGCCACTTAGGGCGCTTGAGTCCCATACCAGAGTCATGGTTTGAGCCCTGGCTACTCTGCTTCCAATCCAGCTTCCTGTTAATGCATTCTTGAAGACAGCAGACAATGGCTTAAGTGCTTGGGCCCTGCTACCCATAGGAGGAGGCCTGGATTCAGTTTCTGGATCCTGGCTTCAGCCTGTCCCAGATGTGGCTGTTGTGGGCACTTGGGGAGTAAACCAGCAGATGGAGGGTTTCTCTTTCTTCCTCTTGCTCTTGTTCTGCCTTTCAAATAAATGAAAAATGAATTATGTTTTTCTTTATAAAAGCAACAAAAGAATTCAAATTAAACATATAGCCCTCGCCTTTAAAACAGAAACATGACTTAAATCAGACATTGAGGTAATCTAGACTTGGCAGTACACTGTTATTTCATCTCATGTATTCTGAGTTTTTCCTTTTAGATTATGGCATGGATAGATTATGTTATCTAGATTAATTATTTTTAGGTCACAGATAACATGGTAGAGAATGACATAATTTGCTTGAAGTTATGGTCTGTCTTTTCTTGGGAAACTAAATTTTGGGCTTCACATATTCTCAAACATTCTTTCTAAAGAAATGATTGTATGGACCTAATAGATGCTCATATTTAATGTCCGAAGTCTGGACAATAGCAGGTTTCAACCTGTTTCCTGTTTGCAGTACGGTGACGTGGCATGCCAGGATCACAGGCCCTTTGAGGGGACAGAGAAAGGGCAGACCTGGGCCCTTGGTGGGTGTGCATCCTGTGCAGTTGCACAGGGTGTTGAGCATGGGACCCCATGCTTGGTTTCATGGTCTGCTACTCCTGTCTTGAAATTCCTACCAGTTTTATCTTTCAACTTTTATTTTGCAAGTGAAGTCTGATGGGACAGTGGTGCTTGCGTGGAACAGATACATGACAGAAAACAGCTTTAGATTTCAGCACCTTTCCTAGCCACACACTCCCCCTTTGCTGCTTTTTGAACAAGGGACTTCACACTTTCATTTTGTACCACATCCTAAAAATTGTGTAGGTCACTTTCAGTGACCACTAGTGGTATTCATGCAACATGACTAAATAATTTATGTTCTGAATTGGGATACTTCTGACAGTGAAAAGCGTCACTCTTGATTGCACTGGGATACACACGTAAACCAGGATTGTTCCTGGCAAGTCAGAATATGTGATTATTTCACATTGCAGGCACATTAAAACAAAAGACATTGAACAATGTGTCTTGTCATGAACTCAAGATTTTGAAATTTGTTGTCCGGGCTGTGACCTCAGCTACCCTTGAATTTGAGTTCTGTCTGTGTAACTTCGGACATACTCCTCAGTTTCTCAAGCCCCTTTTTCTTCATCTATAAACTGGTAAATGGTAACATTTTTCAAGGTTGCTGTGAGGCCGAGATGACACAGGCATTGCCCTTGCCTCCATGTCTGCTCACAGGAGGGCTGTCTAAGTAGATTATTTCATCTGATGCTGCACTTGTCAAGAGCCACTTGTGGTGGTAATCTTAGATATAATTTCCATGTCTATATTATCCTACATGCTGTTCTACGCCTTTGAGTCTGTTCTTTGCTTCTGCTTTCCGTATTTCCCTCTGTCAGTATAGTCCTTCTCATGGAGTTCTTGTAAATGCTCAGTGGACTTTAAAGCAGAACACTTCATATAGTCTATGAGAAGTCTTCAGAGAGTTCATGTAAATGCATATTATTAAAAACACAAAAAAATGTACAGGTTTCAAAATAAATATATCTTTTAGGTACATTTTTCTCAAACTTTTTGAAGTATACTTGTATATAACAAGAAACATAGTTAGCATGAAGCCTTGCAGTTGACACTAAGCAGTTGCATATTCACTATATGATTTGGCCTGGTGTATGAGTATCTTTTAACTTTTTCAAATGGTGACCCATGGACCTCCAGGGGCCCTTGCAAGGCCCTGGAGAGGGGCTGAGTTTTATGGGTAAAGGCTTTCCACCCTGGCTTCTCCCCCCAACCCCCACCTTCCTGTGACTTATGCTTTTGCAAAAGCAGCAAAAAACTCACTTATCTAGATGGTAAATTCCAGAGAACAGGGATTGTGCATTTACTTCCTATGTAGGCTTTTCTTAGCCTAAACACAGTGCTTTGTAAATACCAGGTGCTCTGAAAAACAAACAAACAGGGAAACAAAGCAGAGTTTGAATGAATCTGGAAACAACTTTGTTCAGTCATGACCTGACTCTTTGAGAAGATGAATTTATTCAACACATTTGCTTAAGGCTTGGGTTACAGACAGAATTGTTTTCCCCTACCCTAATATTCATATGGTACACCTCAGAATGGAGGTATCTTTGTAAAGAGGGATTTTAAAGGGGAGGGAGTGATTAAGTTAAAATGAGGTCATTAGGGTGAAGCCTAATCCAACCTGACTGGTGTCCTCAAAAGGAGAGGAGATGTGAACCCAGAGAGAGATTCCTCCCTGCAGAGGGAGGACCACGGAGGGCACAGGGAGAAAGTGGCCATGTGTGTAAGACAAGGAGAGTAGCCTCTAGAGAAATCAAAACTATTGATACCTTGATATTGGACTTTTATTTATTTGTTTTTAAGATTTATTTTATTTATTTGAAAGGCAGAGTTAGAGAGACAGGAAGACAGTGAGAGAGAGAGAGAGAGAGAGAGAGAGATCTGCTGTCCTCTGGTT